TGAGGTATCACAAGATCGGAAGAATGGGCTCCACTTGTACTCGCCATCAAATTGGTACTAACTGATTAACACTATGGTGCTCACATGGTGGTAATATTCTCCAGGAATTAGGCGGATGGGGGGGTAAACTCACAATAAAGGACTCGGGGAGCATTGTAGAGGGGGAAGGCATGCCTCTAACCCTCACTTGGGTGAGGTAAAGACATAAAATGTAATCAAAATGTACCCTCATAATACTCTGAAATAAAAATTAAAAAAAAAAGTAGCAGCCTTTTCTATGAAGCATACAGAGAAAAAAAAAAAAAAGAGGGAAATGAAAGGTTAGCCAGTGAATAGGAAAGCCAAAGAAATAGAATAATTGTAGAACGCATTTATTAAATAGAATCTCAACAAAAATTAAAAGATACCCTAGAAATGATGTGCCCTTGTGAGAAATTAGCAGCATAATCAAATACAAATCAAATACTGTTCAAATACAAATCCAATTCTGAAACTCAGAAGAGCAGAGTTGTTAGCAATTGCAGCTATAAGGCGAAAACACCTCAATACCCCAATGGTGGGTAAAGAAAGCCCCTGCAGAATAGCCAATGCAACCTTATACAATAAGAACAAATCAGGAGGCATCACTTTACCACACTTCAAGCTATACTACAAAGCTATAGTAACCAAAATAGTATCGTACTGGCACAAAAACAGAGACATAGACCTATGGGTCAGAACAGAGAACCCAGATATGAAACCATCCTCATACTGCCATCTGATTTTTGAAAAGCTGGCAAAAACACACACTGGAGAAAAAAATCCCTATTCGACAAATGGTGCTGGAAAAATTGGGTAGCCACATGTAGAAGACTGAGACAGGATCCATATCTCTCACTACTCACAAAAATTAATTTTCCCTGAATAACAGACCTAAACCTAAGGCATGAAACTATAAGAATTCTAGAAGAAAATGTTGGAAAAACTCTTCTAAATATTGGCCCAGGCAAAGAATTTATGAAAAAGACCCCAAAAGCAATCACAGCAAGAACAAAAATAAATAATGGGACTGATCAATTAAAAAGCTTCTTCACAGGCAAGGGCACAATCAATAGAGCAAATAGACAACCTACAGAATGGAAGAAAATATTTACATGCTATATATCCAAGAAAGGGCTTATAACCAGAATCTACAAAGTACTCAAGCAAATTAGCAAGAGAAAAATCAAGCAACTCTATTAAAAAGTGGGCAAAAGACATGAACAGAAACTTTTCAAGATAGACTAGTGGGCAAGAAACACAAGAAAAAATGCTCGATCATCAGGGAAATGCAAATCAAAACCACAATGAGTTATCACCTAACTTTAGTGAGAATGGCTCTTATCAAAAAGTCCGAAAACAACAGATGCTGGCATGGATGTGGAGAGAAAAGAACTCTTATACATTGTTGGTGGGACTGAAAACTAGTACAACCTCTATTGAAAGTAGTATGGAAATACCTCAAAGAACTAGAAGTAGAACTACCAGTTGATCCAGCAATCGCCACTACTGTGTATTTATCCAAGGGAAAAAAAGACATTTTATCAAAAAGACACTTGCACTCAAATGTTTACAGAAGTACAATTCACACTAACAAAGATGTGGAAACAACCCAAGTGCCCTCCAATACATGAGTGGATTAATAAAATGTGGTATGTGTATACGATGGAGTACTACTCAGCCACAAAAAAGGTGATCTAGTATCTTTTTTAACAACATGGATGGAACTGAAGACCATTCTTCTAAGTGAATTATCACAAGACTGGAAAAGCAAACACCACACATACTCAATACTAAATTGGAACTAATTGATCAACATTCATGTGCATATCTGGAAGTAAAACTCAACGGAAATCAAGCAGGTGGGAGAGTGGAGAAGTGTATGGGTAAATTCACACCTAACGGGCACAGTGCACACTATCTGGGTGAAGGGCACACCTATAACTCTGACTCAAACTGTACAAAAAGAAATTATGTAACCAAAACATGTAGCCCCGTAATATTCTGAAATAAATAAATAAACAAAAATTTTTTTAAAAAGTCCTTGCAGAGTAAACTCAGGAAGTGGACTAATTTAGTCTTGAGCATCCCAGACTTTCTTCCCTGATTTCTTTCCCCCTCCTCTGAAGGCATTCCTCCACTAGATCAGCATTCTATCAGTAGTGTTAACATTATTATTCCAACCAGGAATTTGAGTTCTTACTTTTTATCTAGAATTGTAAGAAAAAGAATGACTTCCTAATTAAAAGAATTTTTAGGCATTGTGAAACAAGCAGGAGATTTTTGTTTCTTTTTGTAATCCTAGAGTCCTATTTCATAGGCCCTTTAGAATGATCGAAGGAAGAGAAAACACACTCTGGGGGTATCTCTTCTCTGACCTCTGGGAAGGGTACTGGGTTTCTCCTTTGGGGCCAGTAAGCAGGCATCATCCCCTGAGTTTTCCCTTCCTTACTCCTCTGCCTCAATGGAAATAAATTGTTGAAATGAATCTGTCATTAATTCACTTAGCATTTAGTAAGTTTTAAAGCCATCAACCCTCCATCTGAAGTGCCAGAGGACATCACAGGTCTCTTCCTACCATTTCTAACTCTCGCTATGAAGGTTCTGAGGAAGCAGGTGCTCCTGAATTACATCCTGCTTTGCTTAGCACAGATAGAGACAGGCTGCTCTGACCGAGCACAGCTATTGGTCCTTGGCCCTCAGCACCCAGTGGCTATTGTGATCTCGCTAGTTATACCTACTCTACAACCCACCTAGGAATAGGATCATCTGGGATGTGGGGACCATGTTTACTTAGTCAAAAAAATATATATATATATATGTATGTATGTATGCTCACATATGGTGTAGCAACAGGACAGAATACTTTAAATAAATGCTTGTCACAGATAATCTGAGACATAGGAGAGCAGTAGACAAGAGGGCAGCAGAGTGATCCTCCTCATGCTTATTCTTTGGTTCTGGAGGCCCAAGGCCATAAGGATACTTACACAAGGCCGGAAGGGATTAATCCTTGCTCCATTTCTCAACTAAGAATAGTATTGAATGTTTTAGAAGAATATTTTTCAATACATGGGCCATAGTGGATACATAACATGAATGAAATTCTTCCTGTCACAGAGTAAATTCTACTTTAGGAATTGTATAAGAATGTCACAACCAAGTTAAACATTATTCATCAAGAATCGTATATTTGGGAATTCTGTAGACACTGTAATATAAAAAAGCTCAAGTTTTGAAAAATCATAGCAGTCATTGATAAGCAAACATTTCCATCTTTGTATGTTTACACAAGGTTTTTTGAAATAATATGTGTACCTCTTCTTTTGATCTGGTCTTGAAGAAGTCTCTTTCAAACACTCCTTTCTGGGCAAAGATGGTGGGATGTAGTAATGAATAAGCATTGCCCTCTTCACCATAGTTAGTTCTATCACTGATGCGACAAATTCGGGGAGCAGGAATATCAGATCGAATGGTTGGAACACCATAGATGGGGTAACCTAGGTAAGTTGATGATGAAGGAAAACAAACATTCTAAAACTAAGCTGTATAATACAGTAACCACCTGCCCCATACAGCTACTGAGCACTTTTAATGTGGAGCATCGGAATTGCAATGTAATCTAAATGTAAAATTCAAAGATTTTAGTACAAAAAAAGTGAAATATTTAATAATTCGTATATTGGTTAGTTATTTAAATGAGAATATTTTGGATATATACTATTAAATTTAATTTCGCCTGTTTCTTTTTTAATGCAACCTTTTTAATGTACTAGAAAATTTTTAAATTCACAGGTGATTTCAATTATATTTCTATTGCACAGCTAAGGGGAGTAGCAAGATTTCATAACACTACACTGTATAGCATGTTTATAAAATCCAGTTGAGAAAAACATGTAAATCCTTAATCATGTCCTTAGTCCAAGGAAGTGCTCTTGACCAACATAAAATAGTCTTTCTAAATTAGTCTTTCTAAATAACTAATATTCATCACGCTCAATATTGACATATGGGTGTTATGAGTTGAATTGTATCCTCTCAAAATTCATATGTTGAAGTCCTAACCCTCAATACCTCAGAGTGCGACCTTTTTTGGAAAATGAGGCCATTTCAGATGTAATTAATTACATTGAGGGTATACTGGAGTATGCTGGGTCCCTAATCTACTATGGCTAGAGTCTTATAAAAAGGAGAAATTTGGACACAGACATGCATACATGCATGCCATGCAAAGATAAAGGCAGAGATCAGGCTGGGCATGGTCTCTCATGCCTATAATCCCAAAACTTTGGAGGCCAAGGAAGGAGGCTCATTCGAGGCCAAGAGTTCAACACCAGCCAGGGTAAGATATTTGGTAACCTGGTCTCCATAAAAATAAAAATAAAAAAATAGCCAGGTGTGGTGATGCATGCTTGTAGTCCTAGCTACTTAGGAGGCTGAGACAAGAGCATCCCTTGGGCCCAGGAGTTCAAGGCTGCAGTAAGCTTTGATTGTGCCACACACTCCAACCTCGGTGACAGAGTGAGATCCTGTCTCTAAAAAATTAAGTAATCAATTAATTAAAAAGGCCAAGATCAGGGTGATACAGCAGAAGCCAGGTAGTGCCAAAGACTGTCAGCAAATCATCAGAATCTAGGGCAGAAGCATGGACAGATTCTCCATCACAACCGGTAGGAGGAACCAACCCTGCTGACACCTTACTCCCAGACTTCAAGCCTCCAGAACTGTGAGACAATAAAATGCTGTTACAACATCGAGTTAGTGGTACTTTATTACAGCAGCCCTAGCAAACTAATATATGGGGAATGAATATGTAGAGAAATGTTTTGTAAAAGGTCTTTAAATATTTGAAAGAAGATATGTGTGGAGCTAAGAATCACACAGCTTAAAAGTCTCCTAATATTTGGCAAAGTCTGAATTACTACAATGTATAACATTCAATGTTCTGATCCATAATGGTTTCAATTTCATTAACATATAAAGAATTGTTTTACTTGGGTCATCATTAGCAATACTTCAGTTCAGCCAACATTTGTGTGTAACCTCCAACCCCAGGTGCTTAGAATACAGAATTACATGAAAGGTACAAGGCTTTGGAGAAACTTAGAGTCTAATGGAGAGAGAGGCAGGGGACAATGCAAAGTCAGACCAAGGACACTTCACTTCCATGTTTTCTGATCCTTTTAAAACTCAATAAATAATGTGACATACTCACAAGTAGAGGGAATGGCTCCCACGACTGCATTGATCTCAGAAGAAGTTGTCTTATAATCATCAGAAACTTTATCACTTGGTCTCAGAAGTGTCCGGACAGTGTTTTCTGAGCTCCCTGGTTCTTTTAAGACAATATCTTCAGGTTTTATCAGGAGAGTTGGTTCAGATTCTTCAACATTAGTCTCAGCAGGGTTTGCACAATCAGGTTTTCCACCTTTAAGAAAGAAGGGAAAGAAAAAAGTACAGGAAGACATTATTACTTGGTGCTTGCTGCTCTGCAACAAGATGATTTCTCCCATTTAGTCTCTTCTTGCTAGTGGAAACTGAGCTGGTGCAAACCCTCCACGGATGCCAACACCCAACTGTGGAATGGCAAGTTCAGACCCATGTTATATACCAGGAAACCTGAACACAGCCTAATGTTTCTTTTTGCCACTTCACTCACTTTAGAATGAAGCTTTCAAATTTGAGAGACCAAATATAAACATAGAAACCGTTCTTTTCTTTCCTTCTTTTAAAATTAGAGCTTATTTCTGTATTTAACTTGAACTAAAGAGTTGATTCTAGCACTGCCCTGGGGAGAGACGGGAAGTTTGGAGGTGAAAATTCCACACGTACCTGATGGGGGGTGAGAGGGGAGCGTGAATTGCAACATCCAGACAGGTGATGAGAACCCACTGTAAGCTCAGGAACTGATTATATAACGAGCCCCTAAAAGTCAGTGTCTAAAAGAAAACCCTGAGGGAGTAAATAAAATTGTCCTTTTTTGTAGATTTGCTTTGCTGAATCAATTCTGAAATGTAAGAGTAAATTCCTGATAGCTTTTTCAAAGATCTGGTTACTCCACAGATACCACTAGAGGGTGCTGTGGCGTTTCACTCTTCAGAAGACCGCCAAGGTTCCGGGAAGGTCCAAGCGAGGGTGACAAAGGCAAGTGGCGCACCAGTTTGAGGAAAGGGTGGGAACTGGGCCACACCAGAAAAGACCTGCCTCTCAAGTACCCGGCCCCTTCCTCTCAGCGCCTGCCAATCGTTGCCGTGAAAGCGCTCAAGCCCAGACTTCCAGATCCTCTAATCCCAACCCCCCCAGCCCCCACCAAAATAGAAATCTGGACAAAGTTTAAAAAACATTTTCTCAGAAAACTGAAAGAGTATTTACCCCCTTTCCTCCAAAAGTCAACAGTAGGATAGAATTTGATATAAGAGAGTTCCTGACAGAAAAAAAAGAAAAGAAAAGAAAGAAAGTTCTTGGAAAACTGGCAAAACATTCCTGGGCCCCTTCTGGACCTACTGACCACTAACTTGCAGTTTCTACCCTAAAATCTTAGAAGATAAAAAAAAATCCTCAAGAGCTCTATTGAAAATGGTTGATGGAAGGCCGGGCGCGGTGGCTCACGCCTGTAATCCTAGCTCTCTGGGAGGCCGAGGCGGGCAGATTGTTTGAGCTCAGGAGTTCGAAACCAGCTACTAAAATTGGAAAGAAATTAGCTGGACAACTAAAAATATATAGAAAAAATTAGCCGGGCATGGTGGCACATGCCTGTAGTCCCAGCTACTCGGGAGGCTGAGGCAGGAGGATCGCTTGAGCCCAGGAATTTGAGGTTGCTGTGAGCTAGGCTGACGCCACGGCACTCTAGCCCAGGGAACACAGTGAGACTCTGTCTCAAAAATAAAAAAAAAGAAAAGAAAATGGCTGATGAAGTCAGAATCCAAAAAGTGAGAAATAATTTGAAGAACTGTCTGATTTTAAAATAGGCTGCTGCTTTCCCCCACTACTTCATGGGTTGTGCCAAAAAGGAAAACTCTCTGTCACCCATCTTTGTTTCTGAGAAGGTTGGGGTAGAGTTGTTTTCTATAAAAAGCTTCATTAGGTAGAGAAGATTCTAATACTTTCCTAGTGAACAGATTAGAAAAGCTGTCCCAAACCTGCTGGGTAAGGCTCATATCATCAGTAAAAATAAAATGTGGTTTTGACCTTCTAGAAAGGCATGACCCAGGAATAAAAGTGAAAACAGTAGTATCTTTGCTTTTTAGAGGTGAGACATTCCAAGAGGAAATAAAAAATGTAAACAATCATTTTAAAAAGTTGATCCTCTAATAATCAAGATTCAAAAAGTAAAGCAAATGAGGTATCATTATATACCAACTAAATTACAAGAATGTTTGAAATAACACTAAATGGTAGCAAGGTTGGAGTAAAACCTCACAGCATTGGCTGATAAAATTGCAAATTGGTACAATCATTTAGAAAAGAAAATGAAAATAGAGTTACTTCTGGGACAATAACAACATTGCTAAGAAATGAGATATAATTAGAAACAGAAAGCTTTTTGAGAGATGATAATTATTACGGCACTACCCATATTACCTTAAAAATATCTGGAACAACCCAAATTCCAAAGAGTGAAGAAACCGTTCAGTAAATCATAATATATCAGCATGAGAGAACTGAAAATGTAGTTCACAGGAACCATAAAAGTATCTCTTCATTCCTTAGAAATTTGAAAGCCAAATTTTAAAAAGCCAAATAAAAATATGTTCACTGTTATTATAAATGTTTAAAATATAGACATACACATATGTATATATATCTATATATCTGTATGTGGTAAATAATACAGGAAGCTAATATGTAGACATAAAAATATTTGAGTCAAAAGTAAAGATCATGGTGTTTTCCCTTTCTGTACAATTTTTTTTTTTTTTTGAGACAGGGTCTCGCTCTGTCACACAGGCTTCCGTGCTGTGGTGTGATCATAGCTCACTGCAACCTTGAATTCCCAGGCTCAAGCGACCATCCTGCCTCAGCCTCCCAAGTAGCTGGGACCAAAGGTGCAGGCACCACCATGCCTGGATAATTTTTGCATTTGTTATAGAGATGGGCTGTCATTTTGTTGCCTAGGCTGGTCCAGAACTCCTGGCCTCAAGTGATCCTCCCATCTTGGACTCCAAAATTGCTGGGATTACAGAGGTTAGCTACTGTACTGGGCCTCCTTTTTGTACAAAATTTTTAAAATCAAATTTTCTTATGTCAAATTCTATTTTACTATTGACTATTCCTGGAGAAGGGAGCTAATTACTCACATAATGGTTTTCAAACAGCTTTCTAAGGAAATGTCTTTTATATTTTCAGCTTCTGTGTAAATATATTTTGCTTTTAATCTTTTTTTTTTTTTTGAATGGATAATGCATGGTTCCAAACTCAAAAGATACGAAAACATAGATTAAAAAGTAAATCTCATTGCCACCCTGTCTCTCAGCCACCCAGTTGCTCCTCTCCAGAAATAGTAACATTATAAGATTCTTTCCTATCCTTCCACAGATATTCTATGCATAAACAACCAAATAAATAACTATGTATGTATGTGCATTTTTTCTTTTTTATATAACATTAAAGTTTACAAGAGTGGAGCAATCCTATAAAGATGAAAATATCAAAGTCCATTTAAGAATTCAGCAAATCTAGTCCGTGCACAGTGGCTCACGCCTGTAATCTTAGCACTCTGGGAGGCTGAGACGGGAGGATCGCTTGAGCTCAGGAGTTCAAGACCAGCCTGAATGAGAGTGAGACCCTGTCTCTACTAAAAATAGAAAAATTAGCCGGCATGGTGGTGCACCCCTATAGTCCCAGCTACTTGGGAGGCTGAGGCAGGAGGATTACTTGTGCCCAGGAGTTTGAGGTTGTTGGGAGTTAGGCTGATGCCAC